CCAACAAGGGCTTGGTGAGCATCAGTGATGTTTGGTAGGGTTTGAGGCTTAAGCTCATCTCCGCCAGTGACATCCTGGCCTGAAGGTTGTCCAGATAAACCCCCAGCACTCGAGGCTGACTACGTACAGCCTCTCCGTCTTCCTGGTGGAGGAAGATTTCGAAATCGCGCACATTCAGGAGCTCTGGGTGTGGAACACCGAGGTTGTTTGTCTTTGCCCAAGAAAAAAGTTTACGGAGAAAAACCCCCGATAAGTGGCACTGGAATCGATTAAGTAATAACAATCTTATTCATAGTCCGATTTCGGAGGACGATAAGCATCTCTGCGTTGCATGTGTTTGAGGGGGCCTCCGGATATTTTAAGCTCCCAATTTTACCTCCCAGGTGGAGCTGGAGTCGAGTTATTACTAAACATTTTATTATGATCGGTATCGTAAAGGGATTTCCAGTGAATAAAATTTGCCAGCCAAGTGGATCAGGAGTCGAGCTATCTCTAAAAAATCATATTTAAATATGATGCGATTTGGCTCATATTTGGGATGCGTATTGGTAATGGTAAAGGCAATACTATTAAAAAAGGGTTACCTTTGGAGTCGAGTTATTACTAAAAACCGTTAAGTGAGAAAAAGTGACGTGGTGGTCGTCCGATTGCATCGACCTGCTGCACCACTGAGTATGTCGAACTCCCGTGTGTCTCGACTCTCTCAATGGATGTGATTTTCCAAAATTACTATGCGTTAAAGGTCCAGGATTGAGTTCTTCATAAGCATTGCGCTCCTTGATAAGACATTTACATATATACATAAGTATAATTACTTTTGCCTTTGTATCGTACTCTACTATTTTCATGCGGTTTTTTTTATGCTTATATACATATATGCAAAATAGATGTCATTCATTGAGCTCGACTTTCAACAGCAATTCGAGAATGCATATTAGCATCATTATCATCAACAGCACTCTCTCTGGCATCATCAGCAATAATGCAGCAAAAGTGTGGAGCAAAAAGTGCCTCCGGTATATATTGGTTTTAATTCTTTCACTATACTCATTTTCAATATATAACTACGCTGACTTTCTTTAATGTGGTTATGTATGTATGTATGCATGTATGCATGATGAGTGTGCATCATAACCATAACAGAATATTGCACTATTTACCGAGCAGCATGCTGGTGCGATAGGGGTATTTGCTTCATTTGCTGTTTGCCTCATTGCCTCTGCTGCCATTTGAAGAGAAGAAGAGCCTAGGAAAAGGATGTACATACGTATGTATGTACATGAGTATGTAGGTATGTAGATAATTTCTATTCTACATCGGTTCGTACATGCATTCCCTAGTCAGTTCGTCTCAGCTCCTTTCACTTACTGTAAATATACTCGTTGTTTGCCACTGAAAGCTGCACTAAAGCACCGCAGCAACTAAAGTTTTTTTTTTTTTGTTGAGTATTTATATATTTGTTTTTGTCTCTACATACATAGTATATTACATTTACATTTTATTTTATTTGAGTTTGTTGCCCTATTTGATAGTAGTTTTTTGCACCATTTGCTCTGTTTAACTTATGCTCTTCAACTCATCATGAACCATATTTACTTGTACAGAAAAGCGGTCGTACTTATTTTAATTCATTGTAGAATATGTTTACACGTATTTATACATACATATTAACACATATTTACTATCTTGCTGTTAAGTACTCGCCGTAGTAAAACTTCTTATTCACGCTCGTACATATGTCGTACTTTTTTTGTAAGTATTTTTAAATTTTGTTTTAAATTTCCTTTTGTCCTGCTCTTTCTTGCATTGCAGCTCTTTTAGCGTACTCTGTGCTTAGTCTGCTGAATTTTTTTGCGTACTCTTATTGGCATTCGTTGTGGTGTGTGGCGTAGAAATTGTTCTTGGTTTTGTAATGGCTCAGCGGAATTTTTTAATAAAACACCTAGTTTGCGGTTTCGTAGTCAATGAAGCTAATCAGTTGAAATGACATTTCGATGCAGACAGCTTTCTTTTTTTTTTTTAAGTGATTATCAGTCTGTGCCGCCACCAGCGTTTGATATCGGAAAATTTCTTTTCATACATAATTTATGAAGACATTAAATTTTACCACCTTAAGTAATAAAGTTAAAAAATTACAGGCTGTACAAATACATACGCTACTTATGTATGTATATACCTATATGTTTTGAGTTATATAAAAATGATTTTTGGGTAAATTTTTGAAAAAATAAAAATTATTTGAAACCAAGTACATTTTTGCCATTATTGTTTATGACGTTTTACCAATTCTCGGGCGTAGAACTTCTGTGGGCTATCGACTTATTGGCCAAGTGATTTTCAGCGGCTCTTCAGTCGGCCAATTCTTTATCAGCAATGGAGTTTTGTATCGGAATCGAGCAAAGCACTCCTGGGTCCGCCGTTCACTCAAAGCATTCCCACAGCACACCTCACAAATTCTTAGGTATGTCTTTATTCTATAAACAAAGGCATTTCACACAATTTCAAATCAATATAACTTTTTGCACGAGCGACGAATCACAGAACAGTTTTCTCTAAAAATTTGGCCTGAAATTTCGCCTTTCAAACGCTTTCAATGGTCAAAGCCGCTTTCGACTTAGGAAGAAGCTTACATTTGTTAGGCAACTCGAGAGTAGCGTCAGTGGAGTACTTTCGACCACTTCTAAAATAATTCTTAGAGCTTTGCTTAGTATTGTTTATTAATGTCAATTTTTTGCTGAAGGTAAATTTGCTGCAGCTCGTTCTGAAAAGAAGAAGTATTAGTCAATTACGGACACGGCAGAACTGCATGAAAGGATCGGTGGAGGTCTTATGTTGTATGAGAGTATGGAAGCACCATTGACTAATTGTTGAATACTCTGCGCCAGAAGTCAGCTGGAAAGGCTTTTGCTCAAAACAAAATTTCAAGTTTTTCCCTAAAATACACTTTCTCCAAGGGTGTTCCCATCCTTTCCCACAGCCGTAGACGATGAGAGTAATCTCTGAGGCTCAGTACCGATAATGTTAGTAGTCACAAGTTACTTTATTACTTTCCGACATGTTTAAACACATTGTCACACTTTGAGCTCGTTAAGATTTAAAAATCTTGGTTTGTAATTTTTAAGTAACTTGTGAAAAGCTGTGGATCAGATCTGCGAAACTTCCTTAATACGGGATAATTTAATTAAAAAACAATTTTTTTCCTGTCAATTTCCTTATTAAAGTCAAATAAAATAATAATTTTTCACTTAAATTGCTTATATGAAACTGGCTATAAGTAACTGAAACAGTTTGATTTTATTGATATGTTGTTATGATATGTTAACACTTTCATTTTAAATCACACTTTGATTTAATTATTCAGCACCAATCCGCCAGGTCGTATACGTAAAGTGCGTACCATCGAATTTTAGCAGCAAGAATCGCAAATCCTTACCTTAACAGCTTTCGTTAAGCTTAGTATGTACATATGTATGTCGCCCAAAATCTCTCTGTGGCAGAATTTCTCGCTCGCAAAAATAAAAATTTTAAATTATAATTTTTTTTTTGTTACTATTTAAATTTTAGTACAAAAGTAAGTGCAAGTTTTAAGTAGCTAGGACTTCCCGTTGATTTTTGACATTTTTTTTTTTTTTGTTGACGGTGTCAGTTTTCTTCCATACAAAGTGTGTTCGACGATTGGATTTTACTGCCGCAGGTAGATTATCGCTAAACTGGTAAACTCGTATCAAAAGTGGTACACTACTTTTATGTTAATATAAATTTTAGACATCAAGACAGCTGTTTTATTCTTATTTACATATAAGAATCATTTCGTATAAAAACGTCTGAAAATAAAAAAAAATCGTCGCTAACGGATTTCTAATTTTTCTGTAACTTTGAGGGACAAACTACAGATTTCGTAAGTTTCATATTTATATCTAGTTCATTTCGGAACTTCTGTTCCTTGGGACCCTAAAGAAGAGTCCCTCTAAGTTACAGTAAAATCTAAAATCGGTCTGCGACTCCAATTAGACGATTTCATATGGAAAGACCCATAAGTAAATATTTAAAGAAAAAAATAAAAAATTCTATGTAATATATATATTTTTTTAAATAAACAGCTGAGCTAAACATTCTTCTGTTATTAAAGTGCCTAGAAATTATAATGTTTTTCGAAGACGCTTCCGCGCTAGGAGAACAGCCTGCATAATATGTGCCGTTGAATAGTAGATGGGGGAAATAAAGTCAACGAAGCAGCTTCAGCAACAAAAGCAACGGCAAATGTCTGTTTTGTTGGGGAAAATGAATGATTTTTTGTGTGACTTGTTTACTTTCTTGTTGCATTTTTTTTGTTTGTAGATATTTATTTACATATGCATGTACGTTATGAACTTGTCTGTTTTCGGAAATTTTTGTTGTTGCTGCTGTTGTCGTAGTACTACTGCCACTTGAGTTTCGCTAGTACAAGAAATATAATGAAATTTCACGCTCGTATTTTATGTGCAGTTTCCACGAGAGAGAGAGAGAGAGAGAGAGTGAAAAAACCGGAAAACGTCTACATTTTTGTCGTACAAGAGCGAAAAAAGAGTGTTAGGCAGACATAAATTGAGCGAGTATTTTAAGAACAAGAGTATTTTTTAATTTCATCTCCAGCATCACAAATCGCCGCTACTGCTGCTACTATTCGGAAATTGATTGTATACTCGTTTAAAAATACTATGACTGTTCTAGCGCCTTAAAGTGGGCCCTTAAATATTAGTTGTTTATGCGCAGAATATTCTCGTTGTTGTTCTTGTTGATACTGTTACCCTTGCGGCAATGCAGCAGCCCGGAAACTATGCGAGTGCAATGAAAAGGCTACCGGCAAACAAGAATCGCAAGTTTTTTGCCGATCACCGAAATCGTTGGCAAGCCGATGCTTACTATTATTTTTTTGTTCTTTCTTTTTTAGAGTCTCTTTTGCTTTTTATTTAATCTTTTTTGTTTCGCTTTTACTCATACAGCAATCAATGAGCGAATGAATGCTGCACGAATGCCACAGCAAAACAATAGTAAAAACAACAACAAGAACAGCAAGTGCATGCAATAGCGACAACTATTACGAGACTATAACGACAAACGACTACGATGCTTTGGCCATTACGACCACCACTGTAACGCCACCAGTAATGGCAACGGCAACGGCAACGACCAGCTCAACGACCAGCTCAACGATGGCAACAACGACCGCGCCGACACACGACAACAACTGCACAAACAAACGCAATATTTGTACATCCATGTAGGCACGAAGGACTACGACAATGATGGCGTTGCAGCTATGAAAAAAATATTAAATGAGAAAAAACAGTGCAGACCTGTCTGCGAATTTCGAATTTCCTTTTATGCTTACAATAGTGTAGGTTTTTTTTTTTTTTTTTTTTTTTTTTTTTAACTGTTGTGCTGCTGTGCTACTGTAGCGGTACTTTGCTGACAGCCCCAGTAGCTAACTCCGGTTATGAGCAGGTCGTATGCAGAGTTTGTGTCAGTGGATATAATTGTCATATATGTGTGTCTTTTCAAGCATTTTAATAGCAATTTTTAAATTTTCTATATTAATTTTAAAGCTTCTTGAAGTTAAAAAGATGCTTCAACATAAGGTATTGGAAGCTAAAGCAAAAGTTGCTCATACGCCAGGGCATATGCAAAACCATATTCAATAAAAATCGCCATATTCTGCAATCAGTACCTACAGCATCCACAGGAGGTTGCATTAACCAAATAAGCGCACATTTCGTGTCATAATTTACTTCTTACTTAGATTCTTTAAGTTGCTGCGCGTACACTCACACACACACACACACACACACACACGTAAACGCAACCAGCAACAAACACCGTTAAATCGACCGGCTGGCTGGCTGTCTTATGGCAACGCACACACACAAATGCAGGCACAATGACCCGACATATTCGAACGTTGACTTATTTCTGTTCGATTGTCAACGTGCTGCGGCACAGCTTTTTATGATGATCATAATTATTTAGTAATTGTTGTTACTATTGCAATTTCCAGCCACCTATCTCGCTGCAACTGCAACTGCAGCAACATCGGCAATGGCATCAGCGTCGGCATATACTGCGCCACTCTACACACTCTACTTACATACATACATACATACAATTCATCGTCATTCATTTGCATTGAAACATCGTTCCGATTGCCGATGTCATAAACTCAAGTTGACGCTGCTGCTGCTGCTGCTGCTTTCCCATTTCCTGTCATTCTGCTATTTTCTGTATTGCACTTTGTAAGCATTTACAATATCCGCTCTTGACACGAGCACAAATTTTCGAATTAGCGACTCGGATGTATTAGGGCTTGTGCGCTCTTGACGGTACGCCGAGTGCTCACAATTGAGTATTGTCCTCGAAAATTGCTTCTCTATTGCCTTGCTCTGTTAAACGCCTAAAAGCATGCTCTTACTTTTCCGTCTTTTGCTCTCTTTAAATTAATTGCCTTTGGATTTTATAACAGCTACGCCGTGTGCAGCGTAGACACGAGAAATGCGGTGAATGTGTTGCGGTGCGTTTAATGCAAGCAGATCAAAAAAACGCACAGATATGTTGGCAAATGCAAACGTCCAACGTAGGCACGATTTTGCGATAATGCGTGCATTGTGACGTCAAAGTCGTTTGATTTTGCCCGCAATATCGTACGAGAAATTCAGCAATGAAGATGGAAATTCTCATTTCAGAAATACAAAAGCGAAGTGTTTTGTGGAATAAAAGCCATTGCCGCTACAAAGACAGGCGAAGTGCGGAAGAGGAATGGAACGAAGTTGTTACAAAAATGTTGGGGTTCCAAGTAGGTAAACAAATTTGAATTATTTTGTGTTGTTTATTGTAAACAATGTTGAATTCAAATTAAATAATATTTAATTTTTATATTTTATTTACTGAAAAGTAGTCGCCAAATATAGAACGTTTAATTTCTGCTTCCCGTGGTGGGTGATTATTTTTTCCGGAAGCTCCTAAGTTGCCGTTTGTATTCCTAAATTTTGAATTTTGTTCAAAATTATTGTGAAAATCGTCTTCCTTTTCCATATCAATTACAATGTTGCGTAGAAGGCAAACGGCTTTTACTATATGAACAGCATTCAGAACGATAGTTTCTATTGCTTTCACTCAAATTTTAAATGTGCCACTCGGTATAGCGCACTAGGGTGGGCATTTGATGATTTTTCTGTATCGAAAATATATACCCCTATTTTTTATTTTGAAACTGAAAAATATTTGGAAGTTGCTCAAAGTTTTCCATGTATTTTTATATGGGAAAATAAATTTTTTCGTAGAGATGGTAAAGAATTCAAAAGTCAATATTTTTCGATCGGAAAACTCTGGTTCTTCAAGAGGCTTTCAATAATAATGCCCAATTGTTTATTTAAACATTTTTTAATACTAAAAAATTTTTTTATTTATCCCGTCATTGCATTTTCTGGGCTTTTGGCGGATCTATAAAATGTAGTCACTATGAAAAAAATGGCTAAATAAATAACACTGGTCTACAAGGGTTTTGCGAATAAGACGGGACCTGGTGTTTCCGAACGGATTTTTCGTGCTGAACACGAATCTGGGGTCCAAAACTTCCCATCACGTCACGTTTTCGAGAAAAAAGGGGTTGAAACCCCTAAAAACAGCGTTTTTGGACATTTTCGAAAAATTGTAGAGCCGAACCCTAACGTGCTACAAACTTTGCATATGTCAGAAATTAAAGGTAAAATTGTGCCCTTTCGAATGAGCCTTATGCCAAGTTGATCGCATGTGCCCTTGGAGCAGGGGGTGTATTTGTGTCTAGGGGTGCAGGAAAAAACAGCGTTTTTGGCCATTTTTGAAAAATTGTAGAGCTGAACCCTGACGTGCTACAAACTTTGTATATGTCAGAAATTAAAGGCTAAATCGTGCCCTTTCGAATGAGCCCTATGCCGAATTAATCGCATGCACCCTTAGATCAGGGGGTGTATTTGTGTCTAGGAGTCCAATTTTTATATCCACCATATTCGACCCGTCATCTTAAATTTTTAAAATCTAACTGCAGATTCGTAATCAGCGACTTTTAATATAGTTAAAACCTTGGCATTATTAATTTTCTATGATCGTTTAAGATTAAATTCTTTCTGTGATCAATTTTTCCTGCACCCCTAAACACAAATACACCCCCTGCTTTAAGGGTGCACGCGATCAATTCGCTCATTCGAAAGGGCACGGTTTAGCCTTTAATTTCTGATATATGCAAAATTTGTACCACGTCAGGGTTCAGCTCTATAATTTTTCGAAAATGGCCAAAAACGCTGTTTTTAGGGGTTTCAACCCCTAACGTGACGTGATGGGACATTTTTGACCCCGGATTCGTGTTCAGCACGAAAAATCCGTTCAGAAACACCAGGTCCCGTCTTATTCGCAGAAAAAAAGTTGAAATTTGTAGACCAGTGTAATTGGGTATTATTACTGGGAATCTTTTGAATAAAAACAGAGTTTTCCGATCAAAAACTTATGGTTTTCGAGAATTCTATACCGATACCTCCCAAAGAATTGGGAAAATTTCACTTTTGAAAATAATCTTTTGACACCCTTTCAAAATGTTCGATGATTGGCACATATCTTTTGAATCGCTTCGCAAATGTCCTTGCAAGCCTCTTTAACTATAGAATCAACTGATGACTTCAATATCCTGAATGAGAAAACAATTTATCTAAATTTTTTTTTTTTTTCAGAGCAAGATGCTAAAAAGAAGTGGCGAAATTTGCGAGACCAGTTCAGTAAGGAATTGAAAAAAATTCCAAAAGGCAAATCGGGCGACACACAAGACCAAGCAACTATATATACTGGGAGGTGGCGGTATTTCAAAAGCCTGCTTTTCCTTAGAGATACAATTCTCCCAAGAGAAACAGCTAGAAATTTGTCGGTGGTGCTTGAAGATTCAACTACAGCAACTGAAGCCGATAATAATGTGGCAAATGCTGAAATAGTGGCAAAAAATACTAATGCTACTAAAACAGATAATGAAGTGTCAAATTCCGAAGTAAAGAACTCCGAACTAACTTTCGTTGAAACATGCCCTTCATTCAGGTCTTTGTCTGTTCGTCGAAAGAGAAAGGACAAACATCAAGATGGAAATGCCGTTGAGCTTAGGCTTTTAGATATCGAAACCAAACAGCTAGCTTTACTCGAAGCATCAGAAGATGAAAATTCACTCTTTTTGAGGTCGCTTCTTCCATTCATGAAAAAGTTGGATCCGATTCGTCAGCTTCGTGTAAGGTGTATGTACATTTCAAAATGTAAATGAACCACTGCAAAAATAAACTTTACAAAAAAAAAACTTTTACTATTTGTGTTTTAATTACCACAAAGTTAGAAAAGTAATGTCAATAAACTGTTTTCGAATAAAAATATTTTAACTGCCGCATACGAAGCCATTTCACGCCGAATAATAAGTTACAATAAGTATAATCGCGTTGTAATTGTACACTTACAGCATTCCACGCACGATTTTGCGGGTAGTACGTTGCTCGCACGCATCGCAAAATCGTGCCTGTGTTTACGCTGGACACAGTGTTAGTGTGTATTTACGGAAAGTTCTCCAAGCTCGTCATATACATACATACATACATACATACACACATAGATGTGAATAATGACGTCACAATATGTTGTTGCTTTTATTGTAGTTATATACATATGTACGTACTGAACATCCGAAATTGGCATGAATAAAATTTACCAGAGCTTTTTCGTGTCATTGTTCAGTAAGTTTACGGTATATAATATGACCGAAATAATAAATTCTTCATTGCACAAGTTTTTTTTTTTTTGTTTACAGTAGGAATATTACGAGAAAAAATAATGAGTAATTTTTAAGCAAAAGGCAAAACCGACTTTAATTCCCATATGAAAATTTCAGAGTACCAGAATTATAGAAATCGGTTAACGAGGTCCAAAGTTATGCGGTAACATAAATAAAAAAAAAAAAAACAAAAAAAATACTCCGACGAATTGGCCAGACACTCTTTTTTAACATTTCATATAACTTGTCTATTAGTTAACTAAAATCGACTCTTAAAACATGTGGCAACCCTCTTCAAAAATATTTTGAAACTAAAATAATCTTTCGTTTGACATTGTGATACATATCTCTGATTAACTGATGAATAATGTTGAATGTGAAAAAAAAAACATCGCCACTCTCCTATATGTAAAGCCCAGAAATATCAATTCACCGTGGGAGGCTCTGAAAGCACCGATATGCCATTGAATTGGTCGTCTACACTATGCCAGTTTTACTGTCCAGTTTTATTAGACCTACCTTCCAGTTACTGGGATTTTTTACTGGAATCAGTTAACGCCAGTGCACAGTGGGCCAGAAGACTGAAAACGTGGTCGAAAATTAATATTATTTAAAATTTTTAAATAATAAACTTAAATAATCTAGATACTTTGAAGTATGCGAAAACAAAATTTTATGATATTTAAAACATTTTAATATGTTCGTAAGAAATTCAGAATCCATAAAATATGAAAAGCGTTTGTAAGCCCTAATTATGAAAAAAACTACATTTATTTAAATTATCAATAAGTCTTAAAAATATTACTGTAACAACCCACCCTGGAACCCTGCAGAACCCACTCAACAAATCTACTTTTTCACTCTCTTGCAATTGCATGTTTTTATTGTGTTTCTTCAAATGGAAATTATTAAGTTATCTGCACGAATCATCAGATTTCCTTTAAAATGGCATTCAACCGTAAACGCATATGTTTGCATATTTTGTAAAAAATGCCTGTTTTTACTTATTTTTTTGCGCATATTTTAAAATAGCTGCATGTTGTTTATGCATATTTTTACTTTGATTGATTTAAAACCATTTTAATTTAGTACGGCATTTTTTGACAAAAAAAAACAGCTATAATTGTTTCTAAAAAAATCATCTGAACTGTATTAAACTGACAATGTTTCTATTTACACAAGATTGTAACGATGATGAAGAATACATAAGAATTAATAAAATTATTAAAAATATTAAAAAAAATAGTTAAAATTAAAAAAAAAATAAAAATAAAAAGTTTTGAAAATTAAAAAAAAAAATGCGGGGTGCTTTATTCCTGGAACCTGCTCGTGGCAGGCCCTGGATACTGCAAGTGTGGCAATTTGTAGGCTAATAACAGGAAAAATTTTGAAAGACTTCTTAAAATACATTTATCAATTTATCAAATTAAATCATTTGTTAAAAAAATACATAGAAGCCAATCCTTAATTTTCTTTTAAATACAATTCATATTTTTATTTCTTTAAATAATATAAATTAAATAATCAAAATAATATCTTACTTCTTATTTTATAGATAAGCAACATGTTAATGTTGAAACCTGTTCAAACGCCTTCCTAATGATACCCATTTTGTGATATTAAATAAGCTTACATTTATTCAATACACGTAATTGTTACGCCACTCCAAAATATCTATTTTTTCTCCTCTTCAAACGGTTTTTTTTTTCACCACAGAAATTGAAGTACTTATGCTGTGGAGTATTTGAATAATTGTAAATTTTAATATACCTGGCAACCCTGCTTTAAAAATTTTTTCCAGAAGCTTTCTACAGAAAATATCAAAGAGAATGGGAAAAAGTAGAACAAATCCGTCGGATTGTTATTACGTTTAAAGCTGTTAAAATTTCAAAAAATCCAAAAAACGAGTCTTCCCGGATTTTTTTTACAATTTCTGGACACCTGCTATTTGTATACCTTGGATAATAAGCTATACCACAAAAATATTTTTATTTATTTATTTCACATGCAAAAAATGTTGGCCACTTTTTCAGTGTTCTGGCCTACTGTGCCGTGCCTGTTTACAACAAAAAACCCATGCAAATTTTCAGTGCTGAAAATGGTTTTATAGGTGAAAGGCAAATAGAGTGTGTGCGAAAAATTCCATATATATTTTAATCCTTCCATGCCTTTTTACGATATATCGAAACCTCTTTCTATTTTTTTTTTTAATTTGACTGTTATTTTGGAAGACGGTTTCAAAGCCTCTAATATCCAAAGTTTCATAAATTTCCAGGAAATATTTATCTCCATCTCTCTTACTAGCTACCAAAGAATCACCTCGTCAATTTATGATGGACGAACATACGGAAATAATTGTAATAGCCGCCTACGATGCGTTACCTCTCTGCTTGCTATACATATTTGAGTTCCGTCCGCTTAACGAAAAATTTTGTATGTATGTATGTATGTGAGAGCAGCAACAAAGTTAGCAAGTAGCGATAAACGATGGTGAGTTTGGTTTCACCTCATTGATCTCGTTAGTTTCGCCACTTGTTAACTGTTGGCGTATCGATGGCGGCTAAAGTTTGATTCATCAGTCGTTTATTCAGTCCAGTCTTACTTGCGGGAAATATTTTCTACACAAATTGTTTTCAGCCAAATAGGTGAACTACATATGTACATTAGGGTGGTCAAAAAACAGTAAAGTCGGAATTGTAATGCTCTCACCCACTAGGATTGTTCTATATCGAAAAAAGTAGACCCCTATTTTTGTATTTTGAAATCAAAAAATATTTAGAGGTCGCTCAAAGTTCTGCATGTATGTTTATATGGGAAAAATACAATTTTTCATAGAAATGGTATAGAATTCTTGAGAATCAATATTTTTCGATCGGAAAACTCTGGTTCTCTTCAGGAGACTTTCAATTATAATACCCAATTGTTTATTTAACAATTTTTTAATACTAACCATTTTTTTATTGGTCGCCCCATTGCATTTTTCGGGGTATTTGTGGGTTTTTGGCGGACCTATAAATTATAGTGGCGATGAAAAAATGGTTAAATAAAGAATTGGGTATTATTATTGGGAATCTCCTGCAGATAAACAGAGTTTTCTGGTAGAAAAATATTGATTTTTAACTATTCTATACCATTTCTACGAAAAGTTGTTTTTTGCCCACATAAAATACTTGGAAATCTTTGGGCGCTTTGAGCTACCTCTAAATATTTTTTGATTTCAAAATTAATTTACTTTTTCACATGCGTTTTTTGGACCACCCTAATGTACATACGTATTTCTGAATCTAAACTACAACTTACTAGTTCATATTTGTGGAAAAGGATCAACTGATACAACTATACACTTTTTCTCCTCAACATGCCCCATATACATACATATATGTATGAACGTAACTTCCCTCAAAAATGTTGAGCTTTCAAAACTCTTAACTGCTCCAAATGAGCAAATTTAATATATATGTACATACATATGTATTTAAAAAAATATATAAAAAGAACCAAGTTTATTGCAAAAAGTTTGTAGCTGCCCTGAAACTGGATCAACATCGAGGTGTTGACAGGACTTGCGCGCATTTGGACAGCATCGCCGGCTGCAGGCAAGCAGCTCAGCAGCAAAGCGCGCCAAAGCAGGCAACTAACTAGTAGCTGGAAGTTGAGGCGATACACGAGACAAAATTGACAATGCTGTCAAATATCCTTTTAATTTAAATTCTTTATCTTTTGCTGTAAGGCAGCAGTGAACTCTATTCTAGGACAAAAGTAAAAAAACGCACACACACACACATACACACATACATACATACGTACATACCCATAAACAATTTCAGGAATCTTGCAAAAGAATTTCTATTTTAGAATTTGTCATGTCTTCGCCTTCGTCACCGTCATCGCCGTCGCCGTCGCCGTCGCAGTTGCACTCATCGCCTTTCAACACTTTACTTTATATAAAATATCACACCAAACCCAGAAAGTGAAAAATGCTAAGCATCGTTGCATTGAGCAGGAGGAACGCCAGATACTGAATTCAATCCTTTCAAAAGATGGATCGGTGGAAAAGTGGGGGCTGGAGAGGCGACGGTCAGTGGTGCAAGTCGCATGGAAATACACTGCACTGAGCAACCGAACACCCAGAGCAATCCTTTTGCTTAAAGTTGTCGCTTATCTTAAGCCGGAATGACAGATGCAAAAAAGGAGTATTAGTAAAAGAAAAAAATAAAATGAAAAATATTTTGTAAAATAAGAAAAACAAGTTGTGGAATGAAATGACATAAATGCGAACCGAACCAAACGAAACGAATGAATAAACGCAATGAAAACTTGACGTGGTTGGGGTCATCGCGACCAACATACAGTAGCTGTCCAGTTATGGTTGGAGGATGGTGTGAGGACTGAGCCGACTACGGGCAAAATAGAAAAGGACATGCTCATCGCATTCCATGGCACGAAAGCTGACAGTGAATGATTTGACCATGCTTA